TCAACCTACTTCATAAACCTACTTAAATGCCCTGGTATGGCCGAGAATGGGGAGAGAAGCTCTCCCTCTCCAAATGCTCTCATATCGGCCACGCATATATAGCCTCTGACAGGGAAGTCCTACTCACTGCCTTCTCACGGCAGTACCGTTGTTTAAGAAATCGAGAGGACGAAAAACGAATGTCCGACGCTTTAACCGGGTTGGTGGACACAAAAGTCCACTTAGGGGAGTTGGAAAACCCTCATTCCAAACCAATGGTGAACATGGGCTGGCTCCAGTATTCTGAGGGAACAAATAGCGTATGACCAATCGTTGGTCACCAGCTACCATGGGACTGCATCTCCTTAAGATGCTCCACTACCTTGTGGACTAGACCTTTAGGTCAAATGCTCCGGGTGTGGCTCCCTAAGAAAACTAACTGCTTCAGTTTGGGCACCTGGGCAGTATCACAGCCCTCACACAAAATAAAATGAGATTTGTGCGGCGCATATGTATCTGCTGCCATTTTGTACCAATATTTATGTGTTTAAATAATAATAATACACATAAAATGTCGCTACATTAATCTTGTTAATAAAGTTACCCATTTTCAGTCGTATTTTGAGAAGGTAAAAAGAGTTATGTCCTACATGTGACATAAGTAAAGGTGAATGGTGTCTAGCAGTGGAATCAAGGATGTGTTTTGCATCCTAGTTAAGACTCATCAGCTGGATATACCTTCATCCAAGAATTGATGTTCACTCTGGGACTGTAACCCATTATCTTCCACTTCAAACTCCATCAAGTTATTCATTTAGCTACTGAGAGCAGTTGACCAGTAGCTTATTCAATGGGATAAAGTTTTTATTCATTTTGTATTGTTTGTATGAATCTTTCCATTGACTTTTAAAACTCTAAGTATAAGCTTGCTTATAATTTCCGCTTTTGTTCGGTACTCAGTTACGGACGTTTAAATCCCCTTTTAACGTAACAAATTAAAGTTTTCAAAAATAGTTTTGTGGAGGTCTAGTATTTTCATAGTTGAAAGCGTGAGTCAATTGAAGCTAAACCACCATGTTGGATGCGTACTGCCACTAAGGAGTCCTATAATAGGACGAAACTACCGTCCAGTGCTTCCAGGTTTTCCATGGTGTTCTAGCTTCAATTGACTAATGATTTCAACTATGAAAATTAAAGTTTGGTAATTCACATTACAGTTTAATTTCAACTAAACTATATCATCATTGATAAATGATTTATGCTAATTTCAACTACTTAATCATAAACACTCATAATGTTATCAAGAAGGGGGGGGGGAGGGCGTTGATATGTCATACCTTCAATGTTACTAATCTCACAAGAAGTTAATTACATTTAAATGATTTCTAACTTTAGTCAATTATGTAATAAACACCGGTCACCTTATCAACCAAAGATATTACAACATAACTGGGAATATGTTTTTGAGGGAGAGAGAGAGAAAGGGGGCGGGATAGCTAACCAACTCTTTTATACATCCATCTGAATAATGAAAAAAAAACACTTCGAAAACAAGAACTAGGTGATTTTTCTTCTTTTTTTTTATTATCTACACCACTTGATTGTCAATTATAATTTGAAGAAAAGAAAAAAAGGTGGGGGGGAGGACTCCATAGAAATGATACAATCTATTATGTAACTAGAAAATATATTCCGTTTTTCTCTTTTCTTTTTTCTCTTTTTTTTGTCAAGTATTTGCACAGCTGGATCAGATTTTTCAAATTTTTTTTAATTTCAGTTTTTCAACTGTTAATTATTCATTTTCTATTTGATCAAATTGCATAGGACTCATTCATTCAATCATTCATTCATTAAGTCAGTCAGTTAGTCACCTACTCACTTACTAACTTAGTTACTTACTTGCTTACTTGGATACACAAATCGTTATATCCAAATTGACATTTAATGTGAAGATGTTGCTCAGTTGAAATGGTTTTATTCAATCAAATGGAAGTTTTTTTTTTGGTTTTTTTCTTTCTTCTTCTTTTTAAAACAATAAGTGTGAATTGAATCTAAGTGAGAAATGAGGATGAAGATGATGATGATGATGATGATGATGATTTCCTTTTTCAGGTGATATAGTTCTATGTATGATTGAGAATAATCCAACTCTGTGAAGGATACTTCAAATGAATAAAGATGTATGTATGTCATTTAAGTGTATTGTATGTGTATATGAGAATAAGAGAGAGGGGAGAAGTAAGGAGGGAGGGAGTGAGTGAGGGAGGAAGTATATACATAGTAAGGTAAATTTGTTTAATAGAGTGAAACAATACCGAGGAGGAGGGGGAATAATATTTTCTCATATGATGAAGAAAATAATACAATAAAATATGAATAAAATTTATTCTTTGATATCTCATTATTAGAAAAATTTTGTAATGGATCATAAGTTTGTAAGCAAAGATGGATAGTGGCTAACAGTGGAATCGTGTTTGAGACGCGTTTCGTCCTATTTGGGATTCATCCGCTGGATGTATCTGCATCTCTGAGTTAATGTTCACTCTGGGAGGAACTCGAACCCAGTAACTTTCGCTTGAAACTCCATCCCGTTATCCACTCAGCTACTGAGTCCTGACAGTCATTTGCTTGTTCAATGGGGCGAAGTTTAAATTCATTTAGTATTGTTTGTTTGAACCTTACCATTGATGTTTAGGACTACAACTGGTCAGTCTCTAATCGGCATATGTGCATACTGTGCGTATTGCCTCGATATGGATTCAATTCACAAGCATGATAAGGAGAGATGGATAGTGGCTAACAGTGGAATCCAGTTTGATGGGCGTTTCGTCCTATATTGGGACTCATCAGCTGGATGTACCTACATCTGAGAGTTGATGTTCACTCTGGGAGGAACTCGAACCCAGTACCTTTCAATTCAAACTCCATCCCGTTATCCACTCAGCTACTGAGTCCTTGTTTTATAATCAAATATTCACTTATATACATTTCAACAAGAATAGAAGAAGATACTAGAAGATAAGTATTTGAATTATAAAAGAAAAATATGAAGATATAGAAAGATGAAACTTTTTTCTTACGATCTAGTTTCCAGTTATTGACCAATAAGTATTCATGACCCACTGCACTGTCAGAGGTCGAACTCAGAACCTTCATGTCTTATAGAAAGGACATTTATCAAATTCAAATTTACTTATTTATTTTATTTAAACATATAAATATTGGTACAAAGAAGCACCGGATATATATGCACCACACAAATCTCATTCGATTTCTGTGAGAGCTGTGATACCGCCCAGGTGCCCAAATCGAAGCAGGAGGTTTACTTAGGGGGCCACATCCGAAGCCTTTGACCTAAAGGTCTAACCCACAAGGCAGTGGAGCATCGTGAGGAGATGCAATCCTATGGTAGCTAATGACCAACGGTTGATTTATACACCATTTGTTCCTTCATGATACTGGAACCCATGTGGACCATTTGTTTGGAATTAGGGTTTTCCAACTCCCTTAGATGGATTTTCCATGTCCACCAACCCGGTTAAAGTGATGGACATTCGCTTTTCGTTCTCTCGATTTCGTAAACAACAGTACTGCCGTGAGAAGGCAGTGAGTAGGATATCCCTGGTAGAGGCTATATACGCGTGGTTTTGTGAGAGTATTTCGAGAGGGAGAGCAGACTCTCCTCACTCTCGGCTGTACCAGGATATTTAAGGACAAAGTCAGAATGTAAAAGCCAGCATTTTCAAATCCGATAAATTCACGATTTTACGTAGTTATTGTCAAATACTATTATTTTTTCCATTGCGACACCAAATATAGTGAATGAGAATACAATTAAAGACAATTGAATGTGTTTTAATACAAAGTTACACAATCTCTTGGTGAAAATTGGGAACCATACAGTAAACAATTCATTTGCAAAATATCGATTGTCTCAGACTTGACTATTCCTCCTTTTCCGTACCAATCATTCTCTGTTCTCGTTCTCCTTTCCTCGATCTTCTTAACCTTCTGCTGCCAGGTATTTCACTTTCGACTGATGATACATACTACTTATATTTATAGACATCAGTAACGCACACCATACTACTCAGAAGTGATATCAACTCACTATGAAAACGCATTCATGATCCGATACAGATGTAAAGGTGCGAATCGGCGAAGCAAGAGCAGAATATTTACAATTGAAAAACATCTGGAACTCAAAACAATTGTCAACCAACAACAAAATCAGAATTTTCAATACAAATGTCAAGAAAGTTATACTATATGGAGCGGAAAAGTGGAGAACTATGAAAACCATCCTCCAGAAGATACAAGCGTTTATTAACATTCGTCTAAGCAAGATCCTTCGGATCCGTTGGCCAGACACTAAACAGCAACAAGTTACTGTGGGAGACAACAAGCCAGATTCCATCTAGTGGAGAAAGTAATCAGGAATAAGCGCTGGAAGTACATTGGACACATATTGAGGAAATCATTCAACTGAGTTTCAAGACAAGCCCTCACATGGAGTCCTGAAGGCCAAAAGAAAAGAGGAAGACCAAAGAACAAATTATGCCAAGAAATGGAGACATATACGAGAAGAATGAACCAAAGTTAGATATAACTAAAATAGAAGGCCCAGGACAGAGTGAGTGTGTTGGAGAATGCTTGTCGGCGACTTATGCTTTAATAGAGGTTAACAGACAACAATCTTTTTTTTTACCTATATGATCATAATGAAATGATAGACAAATAAAAATAACACCAAAATGTTTTTCAAATAGTAACAATCTAACTATCTATCAAAAGATAATCAAAACTCAATTAATTTTTCTTCTAATATAACCTAATTTTCTTCCCTTATCTTTTTTTCAAGACACCATAGCAACAATTCGAACTACATTGAACTACAAATTGGGATCAGATACAATTGATTATGATTTCTTATTTATTCATTTTTTTTTCAAAGGTAATTAATGTCCAATCAAAAAATTGGTGATACATTTAAACATAAAAAACTTTTGTATTTATTGCATCTATGTAGATGTGCATACATAAATAGTACTGGTAGTAGTAGTAGTAGTAGTAGTAGTAGTAGTAGTAGTAGTAGTAGTAGTAGTAATAGTAGTAGTAGTAGTAGTAATAGTAGTAGTAGTAGTAGTAGTAGTAATAGTAGTAGTAGTAGTAATAGTAGTAGTAGTAGTAGTAGTAATAGTAGTAGTAGTAGTAGTAGTGGTAGTAGTAGTAGTATTAGTAGTAGTAATAGTAGTAGTAGAAGTAGTAGTAGTAGTAGTGGTATTAGTAGTAGTGGTAGTAATAGTAGTGGTAGTAGTGGTAGTCGTAGTAGTAGTCGTAGTAGTAGTAGTAGTAATAGTAGTAGTAGTAGTAATAGTAGTAGTAGTAGTAGTAATAGTAGTAGTAGTAGTAGTGGTAGTAGTAGTAGTGGTATTAGTAGTAGTAGTCGCAGTATTAGTGGTATTAGTAGTAGTTGTAGTAATACTAGTAGTAGTAGTAGTAATAGTAGTAGTAGTAGTAGTAGTAGTAGTAGTAGTAGTAGTAGTAGTAATAGTAGTAGTAGTAGTAATAGTAGTAGTAGTAGTAGTAGTAATAGTAGTAGTAGTAGTAGTAGTGGTAGTAGTAGTAGTGGTATTAGTAGTAGTAGTCGCAGTATTAGTGGTATTAGTAGTAGTTGTAGTAATACTAGTAGTAGTAGTAGTAATAGTAGTAGTAGTAGTAATAGTAGTAGTAGTAGTAATAGTAGTAGTAGTAGTAATAGTAGTAGTAGTAGTAGTAGTAATAGTAGTAGTAGTAGTAGTAGTAGTAGTAATAGTAGTAGTAGTAGTAGTAGTAGTAGTAGTGGTAGTAGTAGTAGTGGTATTAGTAGTAGTAGTCGCAGTATTAGTGGTATTAGTAGTAGTTGTAGTAATACTAGTAGTAGTAGTAGTAGTAGTAGTAGTAGTAATAGTAGTAGTAGTAGTAATAGTAGTAGTAGTAGTAATAGTGGTAGTAGTAGTAGTAGTAATAGTAGTAGTAGTAGTAGTAGTAGTGGTATTAGTAGTAGTAGTTGCAGTATTAGTGGTATTAGTAGTAGTTGTAGTAATACTAGTAGTAGTAGTAGTAGTAGTAGTAGTAGTAGTAGTAGTAGTAGTAGTAATAGTAGTAGTAGTAGTAATAGTAGTAGTAGTAGTATTAGTAATAGTAGTAGTAGTAGTAGTAATAGTAGTAGTAGTAGTAGTAGTAGTAGTAGTGGTAGTAGTAGTAGTAGAAGTAGTAGTAGTAGTAGTGGTATTAGTAGTAGTGGTAGTAATAGTAGTGGTAGTAGTGGTAGTCGTAGTAGTAGTCGTAGTAGTAGTAGTAGTAATAGTAGTAGTAGTAGTAGTAATAGTAGTAGTAGTAGTAGTAGTAATAGTAGTAGTAGTAGTAGTGGTAGTAGTAGTAGTAGTGGTATTAGTAGTAGTAGTCGCAGTATTAGTGGTATTAGTAGTAGTTGTAGTAATACTAGTAGTAGTAGTAGTAGTAGTAGTAGTAGTAGTAGTAGTAGTAGTAGGAGGAGGAGGAGGAGGAGGAGGAGGAGGAGGGTTAGTGATTATGGTACCAGTAGTCATAGTAGTTATATCGATAATTAAGTTAGCAACTCATTCATGTATCCTTTTTATAGTAACATCATATACATTCCCACGAATTCTTGTCTCATTATAAATGTTTATTTGTCTGAAAATATATAAATAGAGGATATATATTGAAATTATGTTTCAAATTTAAATACACCATATTTTATCTATTTTTTGTTACCATGCCTGGGTATCTGTATTCAAGGTGGTCTAAAATAAACAAACAAACAAAAAAACAAAATTTTTTTTTATTTTTTTAAATGTTTCATTGAATGGTAATAAAATAACCAACTAACTGATGAATAAATAAACAACAACAAGAACACATTTACATGATTATTCGCATATTTTCAAAAGCCTCTTTGAATAACCCCCTAATATTGAACTAGAAAAACAAAAAAAAAAAAGAAAAAAAGAAAAATATAAATTTATGTAAGCAAAGGTGAATAATGGCTAGCAGTGGAATCAAGTTTGAGATGTTTTTCGTTTTGTTTTGGATTCATCAGCTGGGTGTACCTGTATCTCAGAGTTGATGTTCATTTTGAGGCTCGAACCCAGTATCTTTCGATTCAAACTCCATCACGTTATCCACTTAGCTACTGAGTCCTGATAACCACTTGCCACTAGCAACTGACAAGTCTCAGATAGGATAAAAAGCGAATCAAACTGGATTCCACAGCTAGCCATTGTCCATCATTGCTTATAATGCTTGTGAATTAAGGCTATATCGAGGCAATACGCACAGTATGCACATATGCCAATAAGAGACTGACCAGATACAGTCCTAAACATCAATGGAAAAATTCAGACAAATAATATTGAGTGAATTTAAACTTGTAGATTATTTGCAACAGCAACAACGATAACAACGGATAGAGAACATAATAAGTATTCAATAGTGCATGCTTATTAGTTATTATTTTCGAGATAACTATGTCATTCAAATGATCTAGGTGTAAAAAGAAATTTAAGGAGAAGACTGGGAGGCAAAATCCGACTCACACGTCGTTGCCGTGCCCCCTGGATCATACGACTGTTTCCATGATCTAACGTGAGCGGTAATGAGGGTGGTGGAGATAAGCCTAATCAACCAATCTACCTATACCCACAAACGATTACGAATGCTACAAATAGTCATTGCATAATTACTGAGAGTCCAAAAGAGTATTAAAAAAATAAGTCTGCCAAACAAAAACAAAAAGACAAAAAAAGGGTTGTGAGTGTTATGTGATGGTTTTGCGTAAGCAGTACAGAAACAGCTATCTCGCCCAGGTAGTTGTGCCATGCTTCGATGTAGCACTCTTCTCCAGAAGAGCCTACTACGCTTCACTATTCTCTATGGCTGGAAGGAACAGGGAGGAGACTAAATTATATTCTTTTATAGTTGAAATCATTAGTCAATTGAAGCTAGACCAACATGGAAAACCTGAAATCACTGGATGCACATCGCTGAGGAGTCCCGCAATGGTCATGCAGGGCTTTCAGGTTTTCCATGATGGTCTAGCTTCAATTGACTCATGAGTTCAACTTGAAAATTACCAAAATCTCCCCAAAACCCCCTTTTCATAAATTCTATTCATCAAGTGATTATAACATATAATACAATGAAATGATGCAGAAACTTCTTTGTAGTACTGTAGTGAACAAAATAATACGAGTAGGGATAATCGAATGTATTTGAGGACATATTACAGAAAATCTGAGTAAAATATGAGAACCATATCAGTCAGTCAGTCACAACGTAGAAATTCATACGTACGTACATCAGTTCGAGTTGCCATACTACATTAACACAGAGATACAGTTGTAGATTCAAATCCCATAATGGTAGAAGTAGTAAGAGTATAAGCAATAATCCGAAAGATTAGGGTTTTAAGATGTCATTTAAGAAGTATAATCCAATGAAATAAATTTGAAAAGAGAAGAAAGATAGAAACATGAAGAATTCAGAAGATTAGAATTTGACAGAACACAAAAAGTGGATGCACCTTCGCCATTGCATATGATTTTGAGCCATGTCATTCAAGGTCTCTAACCATCGGTTGTTATCATCACGCGAATCCCAACCAGATAGTCTAAACCTGCCAGCATGGCTCAGTCCACTTGTCCCCGACTTTATGGATTTATGCCGCCCATAGCTTTCTTCCAACCTACTCTTACACCACGAAACATCACACGTCGGAGCAATCGACATACGATATAGTAAGTAGTTAATTTACAAACTATCAATCAATTATCTCAATCTTGACTGTTGCTTCTGCAAATAGCAGTCCATCATCTCTGATTGTTATTGTTCATGCATTTTCATACTAACTGCGTTTCGTTTCCGTTCTTTCGTTATCGATCTTCTACCAAAATACATTCAATGACTGACCATCGTTATATACTACTTATGTGGATATAAGTAACTCACACCACATTACAAGTGAATAGTTTTAATCATATTGAATACCTTAAGCTTCATTGTCAATCTGAACAATATTTTCAGTGTTCTTTCCAGAAAACATTCATCCTTTTCATATCTGCTTCTATTTCTCGGCGAAATGTGTTCTTTGTTCTTCATCTTTACCGCTTCCCTTCTGGATTCTAAGTTAGGGATTGCCTTGTAATGCAGTTTGGTGATTACCTGAATATATGTTATATCCACTTCTAGCGTCTTTTCCTAATTTCCTCTTCAGATGGAAGCTGGTTTGTTCTCTCCCATAAAACATTGTTGCTGATAATATCTGGCCAATGGATGTTGAGTATTTTGCGTAGACAATTATTCATAAATATTTGTACCTTCTTGACGATAGTTGTAGTAGTTCCTGCAGTTTCAGCTCCGTACAGTAGGACTGTCTTGACGTTCGTATTGAAGATTGAGACTTTGAAATTAGTTGAGAGTTGTTTTGAGTTCCATATGCATTTCAATTTAGAAATGCTGTTGTTGCAATACTCGCCTTTAAATCTGCATTCGATTCCCCTTGTTTATCAACGACACTTCCCAGGTACTTGAATGTTTCCACCTCTTCCAGAGTTTCGCCGTCAAGTGTGATTGGGTTGGTGTTCTCCGTGATGCATTTGAGAATCTTGCTTTTTCCTTTGTGAATGTGGAAACCTATCGATGCGGAGGCTGCTGCAACATTTGCTGTCTTCATCTGCATTTGTTCGTGTGTATGAGAGAGGAAGGCTAGGTCATCTGCGAAGTCCAAATCATCTAATTGATTCTGAGATGTCCATTGTATTCCGTTCTTCCCCTCAGGTGTCTAAGTCTTCATAATCCAGTCAATCACTAGAAGGAAGAGAAATGGGGAGAGTAGACAGCCTTGTCTGACTCCGGTCCTTACTGGAAATGCATCTGTCAGCTGTCCTCCATGCACCACTTTGCACTGTAATCCATCGTATGAGTTCTGGATAATGTTGACGATCTTCTGAGGAACTCCATAGTGTCGAAGAAGTTTCCACAATGTTCTCCTGTCCACACTGTCAAACGACTTCTCATAGTCAATTGAGTTGACGTATAGTGATGAGTTCCACTCAACTGATTATTCAACGATGATCCGTAGTGTCGCAATCTGGTCTGTGTACGATCGATCCTTACGGAATCCAGCTTGTTGATCCTGAAGTTGGGCGTCTACTGTGTCTTTCACTTGGTTCGGCAACACTCTGTTGAAAACTTTTCCTGGTACTGATAACTAGCTTATGCCTCTGTAATTCTCAAATTTCAGTGTTGAATTCATGTAAAAAGTGATCTTTTTGATTATTCCACTAATGTTATATCGAATTATTACAATAATTGTGTTTGTATTTGGTTATCTTTTATTTTAGGTTTTGTTATCTTCATTGGACTTGGGATTTATGTTGAATGTCTTTATAAGTTGACCTCTGACCTAGGGATTGATTGACCTCTTACATGTGGCTTCATAGATTGATTCTGCATTGATGCATCTGTTGACCGTTAACTGATTTGAATATCATGCTTTTAGACATTCTTGGAGATTTCCCAATCTAACATTTGAAGTCACTCCAATGATTGTGCGAATGTAATGATATCGGTTAGATGGAACCCAGTAAGACTAACGGTAGGATTAAACTATACTGCCGAGCCAATCAGAAGCTTTCGCGGGTTTTCAAAGTCATAGCGCTAAGTTTGGTACTTGATGCTTACGTACGATCGGTTTACAGCGGATTTTAAGGAAGACGTGATAATTTAGTGTCTACAATAGAAGTGATCATAAGATTTTGGCGCGAAATTCAATTATCCATTTGTATAAATAGAGTTTTGGCATTATAGCTGATGTCAGTTCATGATGAAAACTCTAAGCATAATTCCTAGCCTTAATCATGAACTGTAAATCATAATTTGATTTCTTCTTACAGGTTTATAACCCTCATTTGGTCTTAGTTATTATTTGACACTCTCAGAGTCACTCTAGCGTCGCTTAAAGGTCGTTCATAAATTATAGTCTCACCCTTAACCCGAAACCTTAACTCTAACCCTAAACCGTAAACCATACCAATATGCCAACAACATTGAAGCTATGCGGTCGAGGCTAAGAAAATTTTTGAGACCTTATCATGGTTCCAGAGGTCGACTACTATGGAGCCACATGGATGAGTTCCTGTATCAGATGCATCATGATTTTAAAACTTCTGAACCAATATCTAACCTAGATAAGTTTTTAAGTCATGTAAAAGAACAATATCCCCTCTAATTTTTCAGTTTTGTATAATTTATTTTTATTGTATACTAACTGTCTTCTGATCGGCTAATATTTCTCAAGATCATTTAAGATTCGTTCAAAGGTCGACAGTATAGTTTAATGCTACCAAACTAATTTCTTTGATTTGCGATAGGGCATATAACAGCATGGATGGGAAAAACTTATGCAATATGCTACAGTGTCAGGTATGACTATTTACTATAATCATCTCGACCGAATTATGAAAACCTTTATTTCTTACGAGAAGCACGGAATAGAGTTGACGCCATGGATATGGATAATTCGGATTTC